TTATGTATGTGCTGCATTCTATTTTATTAGTCCATTTTTTTACCTTTATACTCATACCAAATTGTTTTAATTTTGTAGCTTTGTAATGTGTTTTGAATTAAGAACTTTAATGCCTCCAGCATTGTTTCTTTTTTCTTTTCTTTCTTTTTTTTTTTTTTTTTTTAAGATTATTGTGTACTTCATTGTCTCTTGGGATTCTATATACTTTTGGGGTTGCTGTTTCTTCAAGAATGCAATGAGTAATTTGGAAAACATGGCATTAAATATGTAGATTGCACTGAGAAGGATGGACCTTTTCACAATTTAACTATTTCAACCTTTGTATAAGAGCACACTCAAGAGCGTTAATTTCTATATATTTGTAAATTTTTCAGTTTTTTTCTCATATGGTTGTATGCTCTCATTCCATTTTGGTCATAGAAAGTAGTTCATAGAAGTTTACTTTTAACAATTTTGGTATGACTTCCTTTTTGGCTAAAGATGTGGTTTATCAGGGGAAATGTTGTATGAGCTATTGAGAAGGGTGTGTATTCTGATGTTGTTGAGGAGTGTTCTCCATAACTCTGTTTGGAATAATTGTTTTATACTGCCTTTACGTAGTCTGTTCCCTTATTTACATAATTTTCTTGTTTTATTTTTATTGCAGAAAGTGTGGTATTTGTTTCTATAATTATATTGCTTTCTGTGTGTTTCTTCCACTCTGTCAATATTTGCTTCATATATTTGGAACCCTAATGTGAGACACACACACACACAAATTTGTCATAGGTTCCCAGTGAATGAATCTATTATTTTTTGATGTCCCTCTTTGTTTCTTTGGAGTTTCAATTTCAAGTATATTTTATAAAATATTATACTTTTTGACTGAAGATGTAGCTTGTGTATGATTATTTTGACTGTATCTGCCCTCATTTGATTAATGTTGCATGGAATGTCTACTTTCATACTGCCGCTTCCAGTCTTTTTTAATCATTAGATTTCTTTTTTTTTTTTTTTCTTTTTTCTTGAGATAGAGTTTTGCTCTTTCACCCAGGTAGAAGTGCAGTGGCACAATCTCGGCTTACTGCAACCTTCCAGTTTCTAGTGATTCTCCTGCCCTAGCCTTTTGAGTAGCTAAGATAACAGGTACCTGCCACCACGCCCAACTAATTTTTGTATTTTTAATAGAGATGGAATTTCAGCAGGTTGGCCAGGCTGGTCTCAAACCCCTGACCTCATGATCCATCTTCCTCGGCCTCCCAAAGTGCTAGGATTACAGACAAGAGCCCCCATGCCTGGCCCTAATCATTAGATTTCAACTGACTCCTGTAGAAAGGCAAGATGTATCTTGGTTTTTAAAATGCTTAATAAAACTATTTGTTGAAAGTATGTCTGAATTTAAAAGCTAACTTTATATATATATGTATTTATATATAATTTTCTGAAAGAGAAAGACTTACTATTATTTTGTTAAGTATTTCATTTGATTCTTGCATGTGTGTCTCTTATTTATTCTCTTTCCATTTTTGTCTTTTTGATGTTTGTATTTATATGATTTCATTTATTTTCTTTTTCTTATCTTTTGTTTTTTCTTTTTTCCTATCCTTCTTTTTTCTTTTTTTTTTTTTTTTTGAGATGGAGTTTTGCTTTTGTTGTCCAGGCCGGTGCAATGGTGTGATGTCAGCTCACTGCAACCTCTGCCTCCCACCACACCCAGCCTCTTTTGTGTATTTATACAAATATTTTCGTGGTACTTTGGGGATTACATATAACCTTAAAATATACATGTTTTAATCTGTTAAAAAAATAAACTTAAGTTGCATAAAAAAATTTTTTTTTTTTTTGGACAGAGTCTCGCTCTCAGGCCCAGGCTGTAGTGAAGTGGCAGGATCTCGGCTCACTGCAACCTTTGCCTCCTGGGTTCAAGTGATTCTCCTGCCTCAGCCTCCTGAGTAGCTGGGACTACAGGCATGTGCCACTATGCCTGGCTGACTTTTGCATTTTTAGTAGAGACGGGGTTTCACCATGTTGGCCAGGGTGCTCTCAAACTCTTTTTTTTTTTTTTTTTTGAGACAGAGTCTCTCTCTGTCGCCCAGGCTGGAGTGCAGTGGCATGATCTCGGCTCACTGCAAGCTCCGCCTCTGGGTTTAAGCCATTCTCCTGCCTCAGCCTCCCGAGTAGCTGGGACTACAGGCGCCCGCCACCTCGCCCGGCTAGTTTTTTGTATTTTTTTAGTAGAGACGGGGTTTCACAGTGTTAGCCAGGATGGTCTCGAGCTCCTGACCTCGTGATCCGCCCGTCTTGGCCTCCCAAAGTGCTGGGATTACAGGGTTGAGCCACCGCGCTCAGCCGTTCTCAAACTCTTGACCTCGTGATCCACCTGCCTTGGCTCCCCCAAAGTGCTAGGATTATAGGCATGAACCACAGCGCCCAGCCTCTTTTCTATATTTATACAGAAACTTTTGTAGTACTTTGGGGATTACATATCACTTCTGAAAAATACAACAGTATATTTATTTTGGCAAAATAATAAGTTGCATGTAAAAATTCGTTTTTGTTACATCTTCCCTCAAAGTTGTCATTGATATTGCTAATTATATCTTATTATGTTGTATATTCATTAACAGATGTTTATAATAATTTCTATGCTTTTTTCTTACTAATTTCAGAGAATATTTAAAAGTGTTTTCTGCACCACTAGGATACTGTTAAGAAATTCTACTATTGTGTATTTGCATATTTTTTTCTAGAAAATAATGTATTTTTATATGATTATATGGGTTTTTAAAATTCATGTTATTTTCAGTAGAAGAAACTATTTTCAGCACCCTTTATATGTAGGGTATATGCAGTTCCAATATACTTTTTTAGAATTTGTTTACCATGGAAGGTTTTTTTTTTTTTTTTATTTGGCAGGACAGATTCGCTGATCGTATTATTCTCAATAGCTGTTTTTTCACAACTATTTTTATGACTACATCACACAGTTAGTTGCCTTATGGCCTGCAAAATTTTTGTTAACAGTTCACAGATTATCTCATAAGACTATGTAAATGGCATACCACTTTTTTCTTTTCTTTTTTTTTTTAAATTTTTTTTTGGAGACAGAGCCTCACTCTATCCCCCAGCCATACTGGAGTGTAGTGGTGTGACCTCAGCTAACTGAAACCCCCACCTCCCAGGTTCAAGTGGTTCTTCAGCCTCAGCCTCCTGAGTAGCTGGGATTAGAGGCACGCACTTCCACACCCGGCTAAATTTTGTAGTTTTAGTAGAGATGGGGTTTCTCCATGTTGGCCAGGCTTGTCCTGAACCCCTGACCTCAGGTGATCTGCTATCCTCGGTCTCCCAAAGTGCCTGGATTACAGGTGTGAGCCACTGCACCTGGTTTGGCACATCCCTTTTATCTTGCAGCTTCAAAGATAATCTTTGTGACTTTTGAAATTGTGCTTATATATGTGTTTGTTATAAATATCTTTCTTTGATCCTAGTTTGTTGAGCTTATTTTTACATCATTTTTTCTTGCTTTTGGAATCTGTCAGTTTTCATCTGTATTTTTTACCTCCACTTTTTTGTTTTCTTTGAAATGTTAAATATTTTTGTTCTCATCCTCATTTTTCTGATTTTCCATAATTGTCTCTGTTCTTGTTTTAATCAGTGAGTGTTACTCAATTTATTGCCAATTCTTAATGTATACGTCTAATATTTTTGTTTTCTTTCAGAAGATTTTATGATATTTCTGTTGGGATGATATTGCCCTATTTTGTACATATAATAATCTTTCAGTTTTTTACCTTAAAAAAAGCTACCTGTCAAAATCTTTATAATGTAATTTTGTCCTGACATGGTCTGAAAACAATTGTCTTGGATCATGATTATGGGAGTTTCTCAAACATGTTCTTATAATATATGTTGTCTGACATTTTCTGTGTATTTTTTAGTTAAGAAAGCTTACTCTTGTTACTTTGTAGGAGTTAGTAATCAAATGCTACGCCTGTTCCTTTTCTGTGGCACTGCAGTCTCTGCTGCTGTAACATTCTTCTTTAGTCTCAGCAGACTCAGTCTCTCATTTCAAAACATACCACCATTTCATTCAGAACTTTATGTCATGAGTGACAGAAACCAGTTTCAGGAAAAGCCCCTAAAAGCCAGAAATGACAAAGAATGTGTCAGTATTTTACCTTTCTTTTAAAACAATTACTTCTAAAGGCACTATGTTATAGTGGGAAGCAGGAAAAGCTGTGTTGGGTAAATTTAACAGGCTTTCTTTTTCTTCTTCTATGTGGTTTTTTGCATTGTGCTTTTCTGGGACACTGAACACAATTCATTTATAAATTTACCACAGATGTACTTTGATCTCTATGTTTTTGTTACATTCATATGTCTGTGAACGAATTAGGGCTTGTGGTATTTTGCAAAGCCATCTTGTTTATGTAGTTTGTATAAATTTAAAGGTAAGATTTTAAAACTATATTCATGGGAGTAAGTGGAGTAATTTATTTATTTATTTTTCAGGTATATGTCCTCAGTTTGCTCAAAACCTTTGGCCAGAGCAGGGCATGGAAGATTTTTTTCAAAAAGTAATACTGAGAAGATATGAAAAATATGAACATGAGAATTTACAGTTAAGAAAAGGCTGTAAAAGTGTGGATGAGTGTAAGGTACACGAAGAAGGTTATAATGAACTTAACCAGTGTTTCATAACTACCCAGAGAAAAGTATTTCAACGTGGTAAATGTTCGAAAGTCTTATATAAATTTTTAAATTCAAACAGACACACTGGAAAGAAAACTTTCAAATGTAAAAAATGTGTCAAATCATTTTGCAGGCTTTCACACATAACCCAGCATAAAAGCATTTATACTACAGAGAAATTTTACCAATGTAAAGAATGTGGAAAAACATTTAATTGGTCCTCAACCCTCACTAATGAAAAGAAGACTCATACTGAAGAGAAACCCTACAAATGTGAAGAATATGGCAAAGCTTTTAATCAAACCTCAAATCTTACTACACATAAGATAACTCACTGAAGAGAAGACTTACAAGTGTGAAGAATGTGGCAAAGCATTTAGCCGATCTTTAACCCTAACCAGACATAAAAGGATGCACACTGGAGAGAGACCCTACAAATGTGAAGAATGTGGCAAAGCATTTAGCCAATCCTGTGTTCTAACCAAACATAAGAGGCTGCACACTGGAGAGAAACCCTACAAATGTAAAGAATGTGGCAAAGCATTTAGCCAATCCTCAGCCCTAACCAAACATAAGACGATGCACACAGGAGAGAAACCCTACAAATGTGACGAATGTGGCAAAGCATTTCTATGGCCCTCAACCCTAACTAGACATAAGAGGATTCACACTGGAGAGAAACCCTACAAATGTGAAGAATGTGGCAAAGCATTTCTATGGCCCTCAACCCTAACTAGACATAAGAGGATTCACACTGGAGAGAAACCCTACAAATGTGAAGAATGTGGCAAAGCATTTCTATGGCCCTCAACCCTAACTAGACATAAGAGGATTCACACTGGAGAGAAACCCTACAAATGTGAAGAATGTGGCAAAGCATTTGTATGGCCCTCAGGCCTTTCTGGACATAAGAGGATTCACACTGGGGAGAAACCCTACAAATGAGAATAATGTGGCCAAGCATTTAGCCTCAACCCTTATTACACATAAGATAATTCATACTGGAAGAAACCTTACAAATGTGAAGAATGTGGCAAAGCCTTTAAATGGTCCTCAAATCTTACTAAACATAAGGTAATTCATACTGAAGAGAAACCCTACAAATGTGAAAAATTTGGCAAAACCTTTTACCAGTCTTCAAACCTTACTAACCATAAGAGAATTCATACTGGAGAGAAACACTAATAATGTGAATGTCTTAAAATCTTACTACTAACAAAAGTCTTCTTACTGTCAAAAGATCTATCAGAAAATGTGTCTTTAAAGCACAGAAGAGTATTTGTTTTGAAAAAGCATTAACAAATATGAAGAGGTTTGTGATCCCTTTACTTGTATCACAGATGTTATTGCACACATTTTGTACTAGAGGAGAATCCTGAGGCAGTTGTTAAAATTTTGTTCAACATCAGTGAGTTTATATTGAGGAAAACCCTGCAGATGTAATGAATTTGGGAAAGTATTTTTCCAAACACTACAAATTATAAAACACTAGAGAGTTTATACTAAAATATGTTTTTGCAGATACAGTAAATATGAAAGATACTCAGTCCAAAATTAAGTCTATGTAAATATTGGAATAATTCACAGTAGAAATATCTAGGGCACTCAAACTTTAGACATTAAATCAGAATGCTGAGTATAGGAAATAATATAAACTATAGTTTGTGTAAACATCAGTTATATATAACTTTAAAAGAAGTAGAATATTTTGGAGTTACAATATTACATTCAAAGTAAACTTGTCAAAATATGGGATTTTTAAAATGAATAATAATGGAGTTAAACTCTTAAATTCATGCTGTTTCATCATTCCTGGTGTATTCACATGTGAAAACATGAGACTAATTGTTGCTGAATAAAAGATTTGAGAGATTCATTTATATTAGGTAGGCGTTATTTATGACCTTTTCTATGGAAAGGTAAGGACATTAAGATACATGATGAAAATTTAAGCAGAGAGGCTCTTTGTGGTTAACTTATAATATTGAGTGATGCATGAGGTAGGTGTTCAGAGTAATATTCTGCATAATTATCAAAAACATTCTTAAATTTAGTTAAAATTAAGTAGTATGCTATTTATTGTACTTTTATGGAATAATATGCAGTATATTTTTAAATTATGTGTGAACTTAACTTTTCAATTCAACATTTTTAACATGTTAAATACTATTGTGAAGTTTTACAGCATACATCCTGATCTCACATTCTTAGCAAAATGACACTGGCTTTGGGCATGCAAAGAATGAGCATATTACAGACAACCTTAAGACACATCACATGGCCTGGCTTACCTGATGCAATTTTTAATTTTTCTGAAGTAACCTCAAATTACTTCTCTGGAGTAAAGTCAAATTTCAAACATGTATTTGTTTGTTAACGTATTTGATTGTTTTCCTCAGGGACTTCACAGAAAATATATACAACTTTCATTCAGTTAATCTTACCACAGTAGATGGTCTAACACATCCAGAAGACAGCCATATGTAAGACATGCCCATAACCCAAATCATAGAAAAGTTAACACACCAGGTTCTTGACGAAGCAACAGTATAACCATGCAAATACACAGATGTTTCAGAAAAAATAACATCACCCTATGGACAACATGTAAGGTGACAACTATCCAGGGCTCTCCAAAATCCGTCACTATGAACGGCTTATCTAAAAGTTGGCTTAAAAATACTTGTCACCACAAATTGGTTCTAAACATACTATTGATTCCAATTTTGGATTTTCAAAACAAGATAATAGGCTGGTAAGATATATTTATAACTAACTTGTAATTAGACTTCTAAATGCACGCATATGCTTGGGTCCAGTGAGGCAAAAAAAACTGAGTTATTGGTAGATTACCTTAAGATTTAATTTTTCAAAAAACATACTTAAGCTTAGTTTTAGAAGTATTCTTCCCAGCATCTCTTCACCAAGGGATTTCAGTTTTAAAAAGTGAGAGGTAGGGAGGGCTTTTAAAAGTTTTATTCCTTTGTATTCAGTTTATCTTGTCCTATACAGAAATGGAATAAAGTGTGGTGTCTGTCCTAATGTTATTTATGGTTCTGGTGATGCAGAAATATCCGTTCTCCCCAAAATGAAGAAACCAGTGCTACCTGGGCCCCAAAGGGATGTTTAGGTTACATCTGTCAGGATTGATACCATAAGAGAGAACCATTTTTGGAGCACAGTGGGGTTCAGCTGAGATTTTGGTGAGTCATGTGGATGACATCAGAGACAAGAATTACCCAAAATGAGAGTGTCAATAAGACTTTCATGTGAGATGGTCTTAGAAGATGGTGCCCCAACTCACACAGAAGAGGATGGCTGTGCAATCAAGAGACAGATTTTTTCTCAGGAGCAGAAGTCTGAATGTTGTTTTTCTCTTTTTTCTTTTCCTTCTTTTTTTTTTTTCCTTGAGACAAAGTTTCACTCTTGTTGCCCAGGCTGAAGTGCAATGGTGTGATCTCGGGTCACCACAATCTTTGCCTCCTGGTTTCAAGGGATTCTCTTGCCTCAGCCTCCCGAGTAGCTGGGATTACAGGCATGCACCACCACTCCTGGCTATTTTTCAATTTTTAGTAGAGACGGGGTTTCTCCATGTTGGTCAGGCTGGTCTTGAACTCCCAACCTCAGGTGATCCTCCCGCCTTGGCCTCCAAAGTGCTGGGATTACAGGTGTGAACCCACCTCGGCCTTCCAAAGTTCTGGGATTATAGGCGTGAGCTACAGCTCCCGGCCTCATCACACTACTTTTTGGCCCAACACTTTTTACCACTTTTCAGAGTTTTTACAAGCCTGCTCTAGCCCCTACCTACTTCATCATGACAGTCATTCACCTCATTCAGTGTCTTCTTTTTCCAAAAGACACTGTGTCCCCCTTCCCTGGACACATCCACCTTTTCAACCTCAGGGCTTTTGTACCCACTGTTCTCAGAAGCATACTTTCTCCTGTCACCCATCCTTCAGATATTAGCTCAAGTGTCACTTCCACAGGATACCTTCCTTAACCTGCATCCTGGCTTCCTCCATTCCTCTCCCATACACAAAGGCCAAACTTTACTTCATAGGTTCTTGTCATACTTAACTTTGAGCAGTTAACACTGATAGAAGTGACCCATTTATGGCTGGATGAGTCTCTTTCAATGTGATCTATCCTCTATGAGATTAGCAACTGCCTTTGCCACACCAGTAGGCTTGGTGATAAAGACAGAACCTTCACAAGCAGATATTTAAATATTAATGGAATAAATAAAAATCTGTAAATGTCAAAACATCATGGGAATGGTAAAGGTAGTGAAAAACTATTTTCTAAAATTACTTCTCTGAAGTAAACTCGAATTTAAGCATGTATGTATTAATTTATTTCAATAATTTCCTCAGAGACTTCACAGGAAATATATTCAACTTTCTTTCGCTTAATCTCACCAAAATAGATGGTCTAACATATCCAGAAAACAGCCATATGTAAGACATGCCCATTCCCCAAAGCATAGAAAACTTAACACATTAGGGTCTTGAGAAAACAGCAGTATAACAGAGCAAATACACAAATATTTAAGGAAAAATACACCCAACAGACAACATGTGTGGTCACCATTATCCAGCACTCTCCAAAGTAAGTAGCTATGAGTGGCTTATCCAAAAGCTGCCTTAAATATGCTTGTAACCACAAATTGGTTCTGAGCATGCCATTGATTCCAATTTTGAATATTCACAAGGTAGTTATCTGGTAAGATATATTTATAACTGACTTGTAATAAGACTTCTAAATGCACACATACGCTTGGGTCACAGTGAGGCAAAGAACTCTGAGTTATTTGTAGAGTACCTTAAGATTTAAGTTTTCAAAAAACATACTTAAGCTTAGGTTTAGAAGTATTTTTCCCAATATCTTTTCATCAAGCTATTTCAATTTTTAAAAGTGAAGAGTAGGGAGGGCTTCTAAAAGTTGTATTCCTTTCTATTCAGTTTATCTTGTCCCATACAGAAATGGAATAAAGTGTGGTGTCTGTCCTAATGATATTTATGGTTGTGGTGATGCAGAAATATTCATGCTCCCAAGCAAGAGATGAAAAATCATGTTCTCCATAAAATGGGGAAACCAGTGTTACCTGGGGCCCAAAGGAATGTTCAGGTTACTTCTGTCAGGATTGATAGCAGAAGAGAGAACCATCTTTGAGCACAGTGGGGTTCAGCTGAGATTTTGGTGAGTCATGTGGATGACATCAGAGACAAGCATTACCCAAAATAAGAGTCCCAATAAGACTTTCATGTGAGATTTTCTTAGAAAATGGTGGCTCAACTCACACAGAAGAGGAGGGCCATGCAGCCAAGTGAGACAGATATTTTTTCTCAGGAGCAGAAATCTTAATGTAGGAGATGGTCACTCGCTGAGTAGTTGAAGCATGCCCTGATGCTCTGGGGGTCAGATTGCACACTGTCTCCCTGAGTTGTATAAAGCATGGAACACAGAAAACACATCACTGTCTATTTTGTTTCAAAAGTACTTTGTTTGCCATTTAAAAAAAAAAAGTGAATTAATATAATAGAAAACGAAAGAGTGCCTAGGGGTAGGTAGCAGGTCTGTCATCACCAGAAGTATTTAAATGCAGGCTAGACAAACACTGTGGAAATAAGTTTCACTCTTTGCGAAAGGGGTAAAATAAATCTTTTTCTTTGGCACTGAAAGATCTAGTGAAGATCCAAGCATACAGTAGATAAACGGCAACTTCTGTTTACTAAATAAATGTTATTTTCATAGATTACAGGTGAAGCAAAATATTGATATGACTCTAAGACATTAAGGGTATCACAAACCACTTATGTTCTTTATGGGATTTCAGTTAAAAAATGAATTGAAAAATCAGGCCATAAAAGAAGTTTGGATCATTCTAAGTGGCATCAGAACTGCTCTGATGTGCATAAGCCATCGTGAGAGTCCTAACTTGGTTCCTACCCACAGTCTCTTCTCATGAATTCTATGTTTAAAAGTCAAACATATAAAGCATCATTAAACACAAACTGCAACACTCTTAACATTTAGGTTTACATCTCATCTGAAAATTGTTTAAAAGCCCAGGCCATCTACAAGAAATCTTTCATTTGCATTTTAGTATCAACAAATTAAAAGAAAAGAAGAAAAAGGATAGAAGAAAGCCATTTAATTATTTTTTAGATAAGAACATAGCATTAGTTTATCAGTTACATAAGTATTTTCCTTCCTTCATCCATGCCATACATAAATTTTAGCCAACTAAAACACTTTACAAGTAGAGACATGGCTAAAAACATGGAAAACATAATCATAGCTCATTAAGGGGTAGGGAACATGCCCTGTTCATGTACATTGCTTAATCCAGCATTCCAGTCTCAGTGAGGCACCACCATCCACCCAGCTATAAAATCCAAGATCAGAAAGTTATCTATCCCTTCCCTACACCATCCCATCAGCAAGCCTCTCCTAACTCTTAATCCTCTATTAATTCATCTGAGCTCCCATCTCTACTGCCACTATGCTTCAGGCCACCGCTGCTTTTCAAAGTTTTCATAAACCAGCCTTCTAACTGATGTTCTTCCAAACAGAGGGCCAATCATTATTTCCTTCTACCAGGTCTATTTACTACTATGGGTAAAAATAGTTTTAACATGCAAATCTCATGACACTACTTTTTGACCCAACACTTCTCACCACTTTCCAGAGTTCTTACAAGCCTGCTCTAGCCCCTGCCTACTTCATCATTCTTGTCATTCACTTCATTCAGTGTCTTTTCTTCTACCAAACACACTGCACTTCTCACCTTCCCTGGAAACATCCACCTTTTCACCCTCAGGACTTTTGTACCTGCTGTGCTCAGAAGGATTCTTTTTCCTCTTGTCACCCATCCTTCAGATATTAGTTCAAATGTCACTTCCACAGGATGCCTTCCTTGACCTGCCTCCTGGCATCCTCCATTCCTCTGCCATACACAAAGGCCAAACTTCATAGGTTCTTGTCATACTTAACTGTGAGCAGTTAACACTAATAGAAGTGACCTGTTCATGGCTGGATGAGTCTCTTTCAGTGTGACCTATCTTCTATGAGATTAGTGACTGTCTTTCTTTGCCATACCGGTAGGCAAAGACAGAACCTTCACAAGTAGATATTCAAACATTTATGGAATAAATAAAAATCTGTAAATGTCAAAAAACACATCATGGAAATGGCAAATTCAGTAGTGAAAAACTGTCTCTTTTCTAAGAGGAAGTTAAATCTGATACAGAATTGTACTTGGGAAAATCAAGTTGTGAAACCTTTATAAGCTTTTGAACACAAAATGGTTCTTAGAAAACTTATTTTCATAATTTAAATACAAATCAAATTCTGAGAGACACAAGTTAAGCCTACTTTAAGTTATTCTTGGTTTAAAACTTTTAAGTAGAATATATTAAGCAAATACATATTGATTTAACTAACCAAATTATAGAAAACCTGTTTGAGATGTTAAACAGTTATGAAACAAACCACTAAACCAACAGTTAAAAGCTCTAAAGTAAAAGATAAAATGTCTTAAAAATTTTATTTTCTGTATCATAGAGGAAAATAAACAATTCTCCCCAGAAATAAAACTAAGTTAGAATATTATATGGAAATGTATCTGCCAGATATGAGTCTAAATTCTAGTTAGCATGTAAGTGCTTATTAACAGACATTGAAAGTTAGTCATGTATCTTTAATCAATCAGAATTTCATCTTTTATAAAAGATAGTAAGAATTTTTTAACCAGATTTCAGACATTTTCTTTGTTAAAAATTTATTGTTTGAGGCCAGGCGCGGTAGCTCAAGCCTCTAATCCCAGCACTTTGGGAGGCCAAGGCGGGTGGATCACCTGAGTTCAGGAGTTTGAGACCAGGCTGGCTAACATGGTGAAACCCCGTCTCTACTAAAACTACAAAAAAAAAAAAAAAAAAAAAAAAAAAAAAAAAATTAACTGGGCATGGTGGCAGGCACTTTAATCCAAGCTGCTCGGGAGGCTGAGGCAGGAGAATCACTTGAACCCACAAGGAGGAAGATTGCA